ATTGTACACTAGTTCATCATTGTACACTAGTTCATCATTGTACACTAGTTCATCATTGTACATAGTTCATTATTGTACACTAGTTCATCATTGTACACTAGTTCATAATTGTACGCTAGTTCATCATTGTACACTAGCTCATCATTGTACACTAGCTCATCATTGTACACTTCATTGTAGTTTATCATTGTACACTAGTTCATTATTGTACACTAGTTCATCATTGTACACATTTGTACTCTAGTTCATAATTGTACACTATTTCATCATTGTACACTAGTTCATCATTGTACATAGGTCATTATTGTACACGAGTTCATCATTGTACACTAGTTCATAATTGTACGCTAGTTCACCATTGTACACTAGCTCATCATTGTACATTTCATTGTAGTTTATCATTGTACACTAGTTCATTATTATACACTAGTTCATCATTGTACCCTTTATTGTAGTTCATCATTGTACCCTAATTCATCATTTTACACTAGTTCGTCATTGTACTTAGTTCATTATTGTACACTAGTTCATCATTGCACACTAGTTCATTATTGTACACTAGTTCATTATGGTACACAATTGTACACAATTGTACACTAGTTCATCATTGTACCCTAGTTCATTATTGTACACTAGTTCATCATTGTGCATTAGTTCATTATTGTACACTAGTTCATGGGGGTACACTAGTTCATCATTGTACACTTGTTCATTATTGTACACTAGTTCATCATTGCACACTAGTTCATTATTGTACACTAGTTCATGATTGTTCACTAGTTCATTATTGTACACAATTTTACACTAGTTCATCATTGTACTTAGTTCATTATTGTACACTAGTTCATTATTTTACACTAGTCCATTATTGTACCCTTTTTTGTAGTTCATCATTGTACACTAATTCATTATTTTACACTAGTTCATCATTGTACACTAGTTATTATTGTACACTAGTTCATGATTGTTCACTAGTTCATTATTGTACACAATTTTACACTAGTTCATCATTGTACACTAGGTCATCATTTTACACTAGTTCATCATTGTACTTAGTTCATTATTGTACACTAGTTCATTATTGTACTGTACACTAGTTCACCACTGTACACTAGTTCATCATTGTACACATTTGTACTCTAGTTCATCATTGTACACTATTTCATCATTGTACACTAGTTCATCATTGCACACTAGTTCATTATTGTACACTAGGTCATCATTTTACACTAGTTCATTATTGTACACTAGTTCATCATTGTACACTGGTTCATAATTGTACGCTAGTTCATCATTATACACTAGCTCATCATTGTACACTAGTTCATCATTGTACACTGGTTCATAATTGTACGCTAGTTCATCATTATACACTAGCTCATCATTGTACACTAGTTCATCATCGGACACTAGTTCATTTTTGTACACTAGTTCATCATTGTACATAGGTCATTATTGTACACGAGTTCATCATTGTACACTAGTTCATGATTGTACACTAGTTCATCATTGTGCATTAGTTCATTATTGTACACTAGTTCATCATTGTACACTAGTTCATTATTGTACACTAGTTCATTATTGTACACTAGTCCATTATTGTACCCTTTATTGTAGTTCATCATTGTACACTAATTCATCATTTTACACTAGTTCATCATTGTACTTAGTTCATTATTGTACACTAGTTCATTATTGTACACAATTGTACACAATTGTACACTAGTTCATCATTGTACACTAGTTCACCATTGTACATTAGCTCATCATTGTACACTAGTTCATTATTGTACACTAGTTCATCATTGTACACTAGTTCATCATTGTACACTAGTTCATCATTGTACACTAGTTCATCATTGTACATAGTTCATTATTGTACACTAGTTCATCATTGTACACTAGTTCATAATTGTACGCTAGTTCATCATTGTACACTAGCTCATCATTGTACACTAGCTCATCATTGTACACTTCATTGTAGTTCATCATTGTACACTAGTTCATCATTGTAAACTTCATTGTAGTTCATCATTGTACACTAGTTCCCCATTGTACACTAGCTCATCATTGTACAATGATGAGCTAGTGTACAATGATAAGCTAGTGTACAATGATGAGCTAGTGGACAATGATGAGCTAGTGTACAATGGTGAACTAGTGTACAATAATGAACTACAATGAAGTGTACAATGATTAGCTAGTGTACAATGGTGAACTAGCGTGCAATTATGAACTAGTGTACAATGATGAACTAGTGTAAGTGTACAATGATGAGCTAGTGTACAATGATAAGCTAGTGTACAATGGTGAACTAGCGTGCAATTATGAACTAGTGTACAATGATGAACTACAATGAAGTGTACAATGGTGAACTAGTGTACAATGATGAACTAGTGTACAAGAATGAACTATGTACAATGATGAACTAGTGTCCAATGATGAACTAGTGTACAATGATGAGCTAGTGCACAATGGTGAACTAGCGTACAATTATGAACTAGTGTACACTTGTTAATTATTGTACACTAGTTCATTATTGGACACTAGTTCATGATTGTACACTAGTTCATGATTGTTCACTAGTTCATTATTGTACACAATTGTACACTAGTTCATCATTGTAAACTTCATTGTAGTTCATCATTGTACACTAGTTCACTATTGTACACTAGTTCATGATTGTACACTAGTTCATCATTGTACATAGTTCATTATTGTACACTAGTTCATGATTGTACACTAGTTCATGACAGAAATCCATACAGAAAACATTTAAAAGAACTCACCAATTATATAAAATAAATAAATGATAATAACGTATTTTCAACAGTGTTATCTCAGAATTTGGGAAAATTACAATTACATTCTTTAAACTAAATAATAGGGAAATTAATAAGAAACTTTGATAATTTCCATTTTAATAAAAATGTTCTATTTACAGAAATCCAAAATCATGGAAGTGGGCTGATAGAGAACCGAAAATGAATCGCGGGTGTCAGTCGATGACACCGGGGAACCTTACAGCTTACATGAAGACCTGCAATCAACGTCTTCCCTATTACTGCGCAGCACCGAACAGATTTCCGATTGATAGTAAGCATCCCCTACCACGCCGTAGATGTATATAAAGTGAAAACAATATTTTCGGAGTTCTTTTTTAGTTTTAGAACACATACATGAAAATCAATACAAATGTTTTGATTTGCTATATATACTTTTCGATTATTACTTTATAAATTATTTCTAATTTTCTTTTTGAGGAGGAAGCCTATCTTAAGTTCAAATATCACTTGGATCAAAATTTCGCTGTTTTGTTACTGCATTAATATCTCTGCTATTTCAGCCTCGTTGTGTCCAAACGGTAGTTTGTCCGCTGGAGTGTGTTATAGAGCATTCCACACCCCTATGCCCTATGACGAAGCCGTAAGTCACTGTCGCCAGGAAGGAGGATCTCTTGCTACATATGACGGAATGAACAAATACATATTGTCAGGGACTGTGTTTAAGGACAAATTCTTTCCGGAATCAGGTAGGATGTAAATATATAAGTAATTGAATACAGCCATGTAAATTAAAATGACAGCTGACTAATTATATTTAGAATTTCGATAAAATAACTCGACCAACATTTTACCACTTCTAACAGATCAGATGATCACACGCCCGGCAAAGTTGATTTTCTCCGGGTTTCTGTTTCCTACGCGCATTAAAAACCCCTCTGCGCTACCATCCGGGACAAAAATTGTGTTAAACTAATGTTTTATTATTTTAAATTGTTACTGATTAAAGATTTCTATTCTGAACATCTGGAAAGAAATTTTATAATTATACAGAAAAATGTCTATTGAAAATGTTTTCCTACTGATAGTTTGTATTTTCAGCTATTGAATAATATGTGGAGTACAGTATAAGGGACAATGTGATAGCATTTTGATCTGCTAAATATGTTACTCCCTAGGTGGATGTAAGTCATTATACGTTTTCACATATCTAGTTACAAGTTGAAATTTATAAGTAAAAAGAAAAACCAATTGATTGAAACTTAAATACACCGGTGACATTGTATCTCGAAGTGATCGCATGCATTATTTTCACTGATAATTGTTCGACTAAAATGCTTAATGTGGGCTCTAGCTAAGTTCAGTACTATCCTTACACGGTGAAGTGTTTTAATGTGGGCTCTAGCTAAGTCCAGAACTATCCTTACACGGTGAAGTGTTATAATGTGGGCTCTAGCTAAGTCCAGAATTATCCTTACACGGTGAAGTGTTTTAATGTGGGCTCTAGCTATGTCCAGAACTATCCTTACACGGTGAAGTGTTTTAATGTGGGCTCTAGCTAAGTCCAGAACTATCCTTACACGGTGAAGTGTTTTAATGTGGGCTCTAGCTAAGTCCAGAACTATCCTTACACGGTGAAGTGTTTTAATGTGGGCTCTAGCTAAGTCCAGAACTATCCTTACACGGTGAAGTGTTTTAATGTGGGCTCTAGCTAAGTCCAGAACTATCCTTACACGGTGAAGTGTTTTAATGTGGGCTCTAGCTAAGTCCAGAACTATCCTTACACGGTGAAGTGTTTTAATGTGGGCTCTAGCTAAGTCCAGAACTATCCTTACACGGTGAAGTGTTTTAATGTGGGCTCTAGCTAAGTCCAGAACTATCCTTACACGGTGAAGTGTTTTAATGTGGGCTCTAGCTAAGTCCAGAACTATCCTTACACGGTGAAGTGTTTTAATGTGGGCTCTAGCTAAGTCCAGAACTATCCTTACACGGTGAAGTGTTTTAATGTGGGCTCTAGCTAAGTCCAGAACTATCCTTACACGGTGAAGTGTTTTAATGTGGGCTCTAGCTAAGTCCAGAACTATCCTTACACGGTGAAGTGTTTTAATGTGGGCTCTAGCTAAGTCCAGAACTATCCTTACACGGTGAAGTGTTTTAATGTGGGCTCTAGCTAAGTCCAGAACTATCCTTACACGGTGAAGTGTTTTAATGTGGGCTCTAGCTAAGTCCAGAACTATCCTTACACGGTGAAGTGTTTTAATGTGGGCTCTAGCTAAGTCCAGAACTATCCTTACACGGTGAAGTGTTTTAATGTGGGCTCTAGCTAAGTCCAGAACTATCCTTACACGGTGAAGTGTTTTAATGTGGGCTCTAGCTAAGTCCAGAACTATCCTTACACGGTGAAGTGTTTTAATGTGGGCTCTAGCTAAGTCCAGAACTATCCTTACACGGTGAAGTGTTTTAATGTGGGCTCTAGCTAAGTCCAGAACTATCCTTACACGGTGAAGTGTTTTAATGTGGGCTCTAGCTAAGTCCAGAACTATCCTTACACGGTGAAGTGTTTTAATGTGGGCTCTAGCTAAGTCCAGAACTATCCTTACACGGTGAAGTGTTTTAATGTGGGCTCTAGCTAAGTCCAGAACTATCCTTACACGGTGAAGTGTTTTAATGTGGGCTCTAGCTAAGTCCAGAACTATCCTTACACGGTGAAGTGTTTTAATGTGGGCTCTAGCTAAGTCCAGAACTATCCTTACACGGTGAAGTGTTTTAATGTGGGCTCTAGCTAAGTCCAGAACTATCCTTACACGGTGAAGTGTTTTAATGTGGGCTCTAGCTAAGTCCAGAACTATCCTTACACGGTGAAGTGTTTTAATGTGGGCTCTAGCTAAGTCCAGAACTATCCTTACACGGTGAAGTGTTTTAATGTGGGCTCTAGCTAAGTCCAGAACTATCCTTACACGGTGAAGTGTTTTAATGTGGGCTCTAGCTAAGTCCAGAACTATCCTTACACGGTGAAGTGTTTTAATGTGGGCTCTAGCTAAGTCCAGAACTATCCTTACACGGTGAAGTGTTTTAATGTGGGCTCTAGCTAAGTCCAGAACTATCCTTACACGGTGAAGTGTTTTAATGTGGGCTCTAGCTAAGTCCAGAACTATCCTTACACGGTGAAGTGTTTTAATGTGGGCTCTAGCTAAGTCCAGAACTATCCTTACACGGTGAAGTGTTTTAATGTGGGCTCTAGCTAAGTCCAGAACTATCCTTACACGGTGAAGTGTTTTAATGTGGGCTCTAGCTAAGTCCAGAACTATCCTTACACGGTGAAGTGTTTTAATGTGGGCTCTAGCTAAGTCCAGAACTATCCTTACACGGTGAAGTGTTTTAATGTGGGCTCTAGCTAAGTCCAGAACTATCCTTACACGGTGAAGTGTTTTAATGTGGGCTCTAGCTAAGTCCAGAACTATCCTTACACGGTGAAGTGTTTTAATGTGGGCTCTAGCTAAGTCCAGAACTATCCTTACACGGTGAAGTGTTTTAATGTGGGCTCTAGCTAAGTCCAGAACTATCCTTACACGGTGAAGTGTTTTAATGTGGGCTCTAGCTAAGTCCAGAACTATCCTTACACGGTGAAGTGTTTTAATGTGGGCTCTAGCTAAGTCCAGAACTATCCTTACACGGTGAAGTGTTTTCTATAAGCTACATTCGTTAAACTTTACAAAAGAACTTCCTATTTATTTAAGCTTGAAAATTCAGAGTAATCTATTTTTTTTTTACTGAAATCATATCCTTCCTCCTTGAACAATTGATGAGCATTGTAAATTTTGCATTAAGGATATGTTCTTTCCTCACATATATTAAACGTATTGTTTTACTGATTTTCATAATTACCCATTGGCCTATAGGTTACATTATTTGTTTATTAAAAACCATTTGAATTTCACAAGTGTGTTATTTCTACTGTCTGCTAACGCTACAATTAGAGTGAAAGATATTTGGCAGCAGGAAGGTTACACTAAGTAGTTGTAACGGACCTGTTTTCATATGATCTACGATTTCAGCTATTGCGAGGACTTCAATTATTGAACACATAATACTTACATTGATAACCACTTTTGTATTCAGGCTGTAAAATATTGCCCCAAAATAAGCTAGACACATATCCCTTTTTAAGTAATTCCATGTTTTACTTATATTTCGCAGTCGTAAGGAGTTACTACATCAACGGGACCTCAGTGGAAGGAAACAAAGATGGATCCGGAGGAGGAGGAGGCGAAATCCCAGTAAATCTTTGCTTTACATTGAATGTGGGCGATGTCTCCATAGACCAACTGCCTTGTGACACAAACATTGGTGTTATCTGTCAACAACCCCTCACCGTCCCTCCTATACAAGGTATCTATGTTATCTGTTAACAATCCCTCACCGTCCCTCCTATACAAGGGATCTATGTTATCTGTCAACAACCCCTCACTGTCCCTCCTATAAAAGGTATCTATGTTATCTGTCAACAACCCCTCTCCGTCCCTCCTATAAAAGGTATCTATGTTATCTGTAAACAACCCCTCACCGTCCCTCCTATACAAAGTTTCTATGTTATCTGTCAACAAACCCTCCCCGTCCCTCCTATACAAGGTATCTATGTTATCTGTCAACAACCCCTCACCGTCCCTCCTATAAAAGGTATCTATGTTATCTGTAAACAACCCCTCACCGTCCCTCCTATACAAGGTTTCTATGTTATCTGTCAACAACCCTCACCGTCCCTCCTATACCAGGTATCTATGTTATCTGTCAACAACCCCTCACCGTCCCTCCTATACAAGGTATCTATGTTATCTGTCAACAACCCCTCACCGTCCCTCCTATACAAGGTATCTATGTTATCTGTCAACAACCCCTCACCGTCCCTCCTATACAAGGTATCTATGTTATCTGTCAACAACCCCTCACCGTCCCTCCTATACAAGGTATCTATGTTATCTGTCAACAACCCCTCACCGTCCCTCCTATACAAGGTATCTATGTTATCTGTCAACAACCCCTCACCGTCCCTCCTATACAAGGTATCTATGTTATCTGTCAACAACCCCTCACCGTCCCTCCTATACAAGGTATCTATGTTATCTGTCAACAACCCCTCACCGTCCCTCCTATACAAGGTATCTATGTTATCTGTCAACAACCCCTCACCGTCCCTCCTATACAAGGTATCTATGTTATCTGTCAACAACCCCTCACCGTCCCTCCTATACAAGGTATCTATGTTATCTGTCAACAACCCCTCACCGTCCCTCCTATACAAGGTATCTATGTTATCTGTCAACAACCCCTCACCGTCCCTCCTATACAAGGTATCTATGTTATCTGTCAACAACCCCTCACCGTCCCTCCTATACAAGGTATCTATGTTATCTGTCAACAACCCCTCACCGTCCCTCCTATACAAGGTATCTATGTTATCTGTCAACAACCCCTCACCGTCCCTCCTATACAAGGTATCTATGTTATCTGTCAACAACCCCTCACCGTCCCTCCTATACAAGGTATCTATGTTATCTGTCAACAACCCCTCACCGTCCCTCCTATACAAGGTATCTATGTTATCTGTCAACAACCCCTCACCGTCCCTCCTATACAAGGTATCTATGTTATCTGTCAACAACCCCTCACCGTCCCTCCTATACAAGGTATCTATGTTATCTGTCAACAACCCCTCACCGTCCCTCCTATACAAGGTATCTATGTTATCTGTCAACAACCCCTCACCGTCCCTCCTATACAAGGTATCTATGTTATCTGTCAACAACCCCTCACCGTCCCTCCTATACAAGGTATCTATGTTATCTGTCAACAACCCCTCACCGTCCCTCCTATACAAGGTATCTATGTTATCTGTCAACAACCCCTCACCGTCCCTCCTATACAAGGTATCTATGTTATCTGTCAACAACCCCTCACCGTCCCTCCTATACAAGGTATCTATGTTATCTGTCAACAACCCCTCACCGTCCCTCCTATACAAGGTATCTATGTTATCTGTCAACAACCCCTCACCGTCCCTCCTATACAAGGTATCTATGTTATCTGTCAACAACCCCTCACCGTCCCTCCTATACAAGGTATCTATGTTATCTGTCAACAACCCCTCACCGTCCCTCCTATACAAGGTATCTATGTTATCTGTCAACAACCCCTCACCGTCCCTCCTATACAAGGTAGCTATGTTATCTGTCAACAACCCCTCACCGTCCCTCCTATACAAGGTATCTATGTTATCTGTCAACAACCCTCACCATCCCTTCTATACAAGGTATCTATGATATCTGTCAACAACCCCTCATCGTCCCTCCTATACAAGGTATCGTTGTTGTCTGTCAACAACCCCTCACCGTCCCTCCTATACAAGGTATCTATGTTATATGTCAACAACCCTCACCATCCCTTCTATACATGGTATCTATGATATCTGTCAACAACCCCTCATCGTCCCTACAAGGAATCATTGTTATCTGTCAACAACCCCTCACCGTCCCTCATATACAAGGAATCATTGTTATCTGTCAACAACCCCTCACCGTTCCTTCTATACAAGGAATCATTGTTATCTGTCAACAACCCCTCACCGTTCCTTCTATACAAGGAATCATTGTTATCTGTCAACAACCCCTCACCGTCCCTCCTATACCAGGTATCTATGTTATCTGTCAACAATCCTCACCGTCCCTCCTATACAGGGTATCTATAATATCTGTCAACAACCCTTCACCGTCACTCCTATACTAGGTATCTATGTTATCTGTCAACAACCCTCACCATCCCTCCTTTACAAGGTATCTATGTTATCTGTCAACAACCCCTCACTGTCCCTCCTATACAAGGTATCTATGTTATCTGTCAACACCCCCTCACCGTCCCTCCTATACAAGGTATCATTGTTATCTGTCAACAACCCTCACCGTCCCTCCAATACAAGGTATCTATGTTATCTGTCAACAACCCCTCACCGTCCCTCCTATACAAGGTATCTATGTTATTTTTCTACAACCCCTCAGCGTCCCTCCTATACAAGGTATCTTTGTTATCTGTCAACAACCCCTCACCGTCCCTCCTATACAGGGTATCATTGTTATCTGTCAACAACCCCTCACCGTCCCTCCTATACCAGGTATCTATGTTATCTGTCAACAATCCTCACCGTCCCTCCTATACAGGGTATCTATAATATCTGTCAACAACCCTTCACCGTCACTCCTATACCAGGTATCTATGTTATCTGTCAACAACCCTCACCATCCCTCCTTTACAAGGTATCTATGTTATCTGTCAACTACCCTCACCGTCCCTCCTATACAAGGTTTCTATGTTATCTGTCAACAACCCCTCACCGTCCTTCCTATACACGGTATCTATGTTATCTGTCAACAACCCCTCACCGTCCTTCCTATACACGGTATCTATGTTATCTGTCAACAACCCCTCACCGTCACTCCTATACAAGGTATCATTGTTATCTGTCAACAACCCTCACCGTCCCTCCAATACAAGGTATCTATGTTATCTGCCAACAACCCCTCACCGTCCCTCCTATACAAGGTATCATTGTTATCTGTCAACAACCCTCACCGTCCCTCCAATACAAGGTATCTATGTTATCTGCCAACAACCCCTCACCGTCCCTCCTATACAAGGTATCCTTGTTATCTGTCAACAACCCTCACCGTCCCTCCAATACAAGGTATCTATGTTATCTGCCAACAACCCCTCACCGTCCCTCCTATACAAGGTATCCTTGTTATCTGTCAACAACCCTCACCGTCCCTCCAATACAAGGTATCTATGTTATCTGCCAACAACCCCTCACCGTCCCTCCTATACAAGGTATCCTTGTTATCTGTCAACAACCCTCACCGTCCCTCCAATACAAGGTATCTATGTTATCTGCCAACAACCCCTCACCGTCCCTCCTATACAAGGTATCATTGTTATCTGTCAACAACCCCTCACCGTCTCTACACAACCTTTTTCCATTGCATTAGTTATATTTATTTTATCATGACCATTTTAACCTTCAAATATACTTGTATTATATATGATAAGTCGCACATGTGATTACACATGAACAAATTTGGCAATAGACACATTATTTCTACATCATGTATGTATACTGAACCATACAGCCGATCTTCAAGTATACCAGACTAAAACTAACAGATCAAATAATCTTAACACTTATATACTTATATACTTATCATTTACGCAAAAAAACAAGATTCCTTTTCAGCGTAATAAAGTGGTCATTTACTTACCCAACACCAACCAACTTTACATACCCAACACCAACCAACTTTACAAACTTCGATATTGAAAAGCGTGAATGATGTTTGCAGTTTCATCCTCAAACTAGATAATGATTTCCCATAACACTAGTTAATATACCATTTTATATTGCTTTTATGCAGGTGATGGTATTCCTGTTTTCCAAGCACTTAAAATCAGTGGTGAATCTAATCAAGGTGGTATTTACAAAATGCAATGTCGTTTAGAAAGGAATTTGATGGACTTCGAGAACATGGTGACTTATTTTGATGGTGTTCCTAAGGATGCCTATATCGCGCAGGCAAATGGAGTGATGACAGAGATAACACTATATGGTGATGATTACAAAAACATAGGCGATTACTGGTGTGAGATACAGAACACCAGGACGTCTGCCGTAATGGTCTCCAATAAAGTCAGATATGAATTTCCTCGTAAGTATTTGTGCCGTAATAACTTCATTTCCGTTGATACCCATTGTCGTTTATGTTCTTCCAGTATCATGTTTGCGTGCATTTGCACTCTTGAAAAGAAACAATAGAATCGGAACGATCTTTCTTTACGCGTATGTGAATACATTTTCGCTTCATACTTTTAAAAAAGTTGCAATTTACTGATTTTTACAAATCCTTTTTTTGTTGATCATGTCAAGTTTTTATCATAACTAGACAAATATAACCAGGAATATTGTGTTCTGTTAAATGCCATTTTTCATTCATTTCATTATTTACAGAATCGTCTTCCTTAACGTATCGAGGATATGCCAATTTTACAGCCCTACAACAGAATCTTACTATCTCTCTACACAACCTGGGGTTTCAGCAGGACGCCAGATATTTGCAGTCATCCTCATTGATCTTGGGATTCTTCAGTCCTAATCTTAATAATGCTGTTCAGGACTTGTTGTCCTACCAGGAGCCTCCTTTGAGTTTTAATCGGGACATAGTATCCGGATATAGAGAAATTGGAAAAATAAGGTAACTCGAATTTTGCAGGATGTCACAGCTGTAGATATCGTCTTAGTCATTTAAAATAACAGATTTAATCGAACAATATTATTTTTTATATAAAATTAACAAAATACATGGCCTAAACGTGGGTAAATTTCTGATCACGATTGATGAACCCTTTCTCCATGTTTCTTCGTTCTCTCTTTATAATGGCTGTCTATTTTAAGATAATCAAAATTATCTTTTTTCTACTGCATTGAAATAAATGGTTGGATTCATTCAAGGCATATATGGTACAGCGAGAGATTCATATCGGGACACATTGCTAAAAACCCCTATATTTAGATGAGATATATTTAGATGACATATATTTAGATGAGATATATTTAAATGAGATATGAAGTATGGATCAGTCTTCGAATGCTTTAATCTAACTAAATGTTCCATTGAAATATTGAAAATTGGAAGATATTGCGTTTTCAAATCATATTATAATATGCTTTGGTGCCAACCAATAGGTACAACTTGTAAACAGCTACATGGAATCGTCAGTAAATATGTCTTGAAAATTAACTTATACAATACCGTGCAATGTAGTTTACATTTAATCTTAGCTTAGTGTACTTAAAATTTTATTGATGTAACATTGCAGCGATTTAAACAGAGACGTAAAGAGAGTAATTAGCACCCTGCAGCATGCCTCTCTATAGGAGTATACCTCTCTATAGGAGTATACCTCTCTATAGGAGTATACCTCTCTATAGGAGCATACCTCTCTATAGGAGCATACCTCTCTATAGGAGCATACCTCTCTATAGGAGCATACCTCTCTATAGGAGCATACCTCTCTATAGGAGCATACCTCTCTATAGGAGTATACCTCTCTATAGGAGCATACCTCTCTATAGGAGCATACCTCTCTATAGGAGCATACCTCTCTATAGGAGCATACCTCTCTATAGGAGCATACCTCTCTATAGGAGCATACCTCTCTATAGGAGCATACCTCTCTATAGGAGCATACCTCTCTATAGGAGCATACCTCTCTATAGGAGCATACCTCTCTATAGGAGCATACCTCTCTATAGGAGCATACCTCTCTATAGGAGCATACCTCTCTATAGGAGCATACCTCTCTATAGGAGCATACCTCTCTATAGGAGCATACCTCTCTATAGGAGCATACCTCTCTATAGGAGCATACCTCTCTATAGGAGCATACCTCTCTATAGGAGCATACCTCTCTATAGGAGCATACCTCTCTATAGGAGCATACCTCTCTATAGGAGCATACCTCTCTATAGGAGCATACCTCTCTATAGGAGCATACCTCTCTATAGGAGCATACCTCTCTATAGGAGCATACCTCTCTATAGGAGCATACCTCTCTATAGGAGCATACCTCTCTATAGGAGCATACCTCTCTATAGGAGCATACCTCTCTATAGGAGCATACCTCTCTATAGGAGCATACCTCTCTATAGGAGCATACCTCTCTATAGGAGCATACCTCTCTATAGGAGCATACCTCTCTATAGGAGCATACCTCTCTATAGGAGCATACCTCTCTATAGGAGCATACCTCTCTATAGGAGCATACCTCTCTATAGGAGCATACCTCTCTATAGGAGCATACCTCTCTATAGGAGCATACCTCTCTATAGGAGCATACCTCTCTATAGGAGCATACCTCTCTATAGGAGTATACCTCTCTATAGGAGCATACCTCTCTATAGGAGCATACCTCTCTATAGGAGCATACCTCTCTATAGGAGCATACCTCTCTATAGGAGCATACCTCTCTATAGGAGCATACCTCTCTATAGGAGCATACCTCTCTATAGGAGCATACCTCTCTATAGGAGCATACCTCTCTATAGGAGCATACCTCTCTATAGGAGCATACCTCTCTATAGGAGCATACCTCTCTATAGGAGCATACCTCTCTATAGGAGCATACCTCTCTATAGGAGCATACCTCTCTATAGGAGCATACCTCTCTATAGGAGCATACCTCTCTATAGGAGCATACCTCTCTATAGGAGCATACCTCTCTATAGGAGCATACCTCTCTATAGGAGCATACCTCTCTATAGGAGCATACCTCTCTATAGGAGCATACCTCTCTATAGGAGCATACCTCTCTATAGGAGCATACCTCTCTATAGGAGCATACCTCTCTATAGGAGCATACCTCTCTATAGGAGCATACCTCTCTATAGGAGCATACCTCTCTATAGGAGCATACCTCTCTATAGGAGCATACCTCTCTATAGGAGCATACCTCTCTATAGGAGCATACCTCTCTATAGGAGCATACCTCTCTATAGGAGCATACCTCTCTATAGGAGCATACCTCTCTATAGGAGCATACCTCTCTATAGGAGCATACCTCTCTATAGGAGCATACCTCTCTATAGGAGCATACCTCTCTATAGGAGCATACCTCTCTATAGGAGCATACCTCTCTATAGGAGCATACCTCTCTATAGGAGCATACCTCTCTATAGGAGCATACCTCTCTATAGGAGCATACCTCTCTATAGGAGCATACCTCTCTATAGGAGCATACCTCTCTATAGGAGCATACCTCTCTATAGGAGCATACCTCTCTATAGGAGTATACCTCTCTATAGGAGCATACCTCTCTATAGGAGCATACCTCTCTATAGGAGCATACCTCTCTATAGGAGCATACCTCTCTATAGGAGCATACCTCTCTATAGGAGCATACCTCTCTATAGGAGCATACCTCTCTATAGGAGCATACCTCTCTATAGGAGCATACCTCTCTATAGGAGCATACCTCTCTATAGGAGCATACCTCTCTATAGGAGCATACCTCTCTATAGGAGCATACCTCTCTATAGGAGCATACCTCTCTATAGGAGCATACCTCTCTATAGGAGCATACCTCTCTATAGGAGCATACCTCTCTATAGGAGCATACCTCTCTATAGGAGCATACCTCTCTATAGGAGCATACCTCTCTATAGGAGCATACCTCTCTATAGGAGCATACCTCTCTATAGGAGCATACCTCTCTATAGGAGCATACCTCTCTATAGGAGCATACCTCTCTATAGGAGCATACCTCTCTATAGGAGCATACCTCTCTATAGGAGCATACCTCTCTATAGGAGCATACCTCTCTATAGGAGCATACCTCTCTATAGGAGCATACCTCTCTATAGGAGCATACCTCTCTATAGGAGCATACCTCTCTATAGGAGCATACCTCTCTATAGGAGCATACCTCTCTATAGGAGCATACCTCTCTATAGGAGCATACCTCTCTATAGGAGCATACCTCTCTATAGGAGCATACCTCTCTATAGGAGCATACCTCTCTATAGGAGCATACCTCTCTATAGGAGCATACCTCTCTATAGGAGCATACCTCTCTATAGGAGCATACCTCTCTATAGGAGCATACCTCTCTATAGGAGCATACCTCTCTATAGGAGCATACCTCTCTATAGGAGCATACCTCTCTATAGGAGCATACCTCTCTATAGGAGCATACCTCTCTATAGGAGCATACCTCTCTATAGGAGCATACCTCTCTATAGGAGCATACCTCTCTATAGGAGCATACCTCTCTATAGGAGCATACCTCTCTATAGGAGCATACCTCTCTATAGGAGCATACCTCTCTATAGGAGCATACCTCTCTATAGGAGCATACCTCTCTATAGGAGCATACCTCTCTATAGGAGCATACCTCTCTATAGGAGCATACCTCTCTATAGGAGCATACCTCTCTATAGGAGCATACCTCTCTATAGGAGCATACCTCTCTATAGGAGCATACCTCTCTATAGGAGCATACCTCTCTATAGGAGCATACCTCTCTATAGGAGCATACCTCTCTATAGGAGCATACCTCTCTATAGGAGCATACCTCTCTATAGGAGCATACCTCTCTATAGGAGCATACCTCTCTATAGGAGCATACCTCTCTATAGGAGCATACCTCTCTATAGGAGCATACCTCTCTATAGGAGCATACCTCTCTATAGGAGCATACCTCTCTATAGGAGCATACCTCTCTATAGGAGCATACCTCTCTATAGGAGCATACCTCTCTATAGGAGCATACCTCTCTATAGGAGCATACCTCTCTATAGGAGCATACCTCTCTATAGGAGCATACCTCTCTATAGGAGCATACCTCTCTATAGGAGCATACCTCTCTATAGGAGCATACCTCTCTATAGGAGCATACCTCTCTATAGGAGCATACCTCTCTATAGGAGCATACCTCTCTATAGGAGCATACCTCTCTATAGGAGCATACCTCTCTATAGGAGCATACCTCTCTATAGGAGCATACCTCTCTATAGGAGCATACCTCTCTATAGGAGCATACCTCTCTATAGGAGTATACCTCTCTATAGGAGTATACCTCTCTATAGGAGCATACCTCTCTATAGGAGTATACCTCTTCATCCTCGCTATCCAATGGCTCCGTTCACGATAGTCATATCTTTGATATGTGATATACAACATTTGATATAGCGCCCCATCTGGCTAGAAGAAGCCACTCTAAAGCGCTTTACAGTACATACATGTAGATATACAATTTATACAATCAATGAAATGAGCATATACATTATTAGATACAATTTTAAGGAATTCGCAGGAGCTGCTTTATTGGTTCATACCTACTACACTGTAGCCCTATGCCACCTTGCTAATTTCTCCCTATGTGTGTATGCCTGCGTGTGTGCTGGAGATGTTCAGTGTGCTTGTAGTGGGACCGTGCTTCAAACGGCATCCTTAATTTGTTGCAGTATGTATGCTGTAGTATTCACGTGAGGTGGCACACCTCACTTGACTGCTACAGTACAGATACCAAAACATCCACCCCTGACCATTGTATACTCCACCTGGGTTGTTGGAGTTGTGTGGGCAGGCGAAAAACTCTTTCCCTGAATATCCCATGCGTACGACGACTCTGGGGATATTCAGTGCATCTTCTTTACACCCATTGTAAATGTCAAATCATCACAGTGATCACGTGATTTAATTTCAATACTTGTTTTGATAATGACATCATCGTGCAATGTTTGTAGCATAATTGTGCAATCTACTCTGAAACGCTCCACACAACGTGGTTTTATCTTATGCTCCAACGAATTGCGGACCATAACATAAGCAACATCAAGGTTTGTCGCTAATTAGCACGGCAGTGCAATCTACAGCATCTTTGCCGTCTTATTTATTTCCGAATTCATTGATCACATTAATGACTTTCAGGCACCTTCGATTACATTTATATGATATAAAAATGTCACTTATTCAAGACAATTAATTAAAATGCTTCATATTTCTTTTATATTTCAGTGAATATGGAACATCTGTTGGCTTTTCTGTTTATTTAAATATGAGAATACTTAACAGGAACGAACCGAAATGGTATACACCAGAAAAAGACCAATTAGCTTTGAGCATATTGAGAGAAAGAATAGAATCTTTCTTAAACTTGGACAATGTACCTTCACGAAGAAAGAGAAGGAAGCGACAGGCAAATTTATTCTTACCAAACGTTGTCCTCTTAAGCATTGGTAAGCATTTTTGCTTCTGATATTGAATGATTGTTCTATATGTTTGTTCTAAATGTTGAACTATGCTGTATATATATTCAGCTAATTGGATGGCATATTTATAACTTCATTTAACATTCGGTCGTTGTATATGAGAAATGTGCTATGTTAAGGTTCGTTAAGACAATCAAGGATTCTGTTAAAATGGAAACTTGTTACCTTCCGGCTACGCGTTATCGTGCCTTAACTATGAAACTGATGTAATTTGTTTGACAACTATATACTTTATTCTTCAATACAGCTTGTCTATACATCGTTGAATCTTACTGTGGGGATTCAGCTAGATTTGTTAGGTATTCTAATCCAAAAGGCCAACATGACCTTTCGCCACCATGTTGTCTCCGTCTTTGTTTACCGTCCGTCTTCTTCTTTAAACCTGCAAGATGCTAAAAGTGAGATCTTCTTTTGAGTGGTCCGTGTGTGATGATGATGGCGGCGTCAACATTAAGTTTTTGCGTTTAACTTAGTTTCGCTGAAAGCATAAGTGCTATACCAACCAAACTTTTACCATAGATGTGTCACCTTAGGTCGTACATCTCAACCCATGCGTCATCTTAGGTCGTACATCTCAACCCATGTATCACCTTAGGTCGTACATCTCAACCCATGCATCACCTAAGGTCGTACATCTCAACCCATGCGTCACCTTAGGTCGTACATCTCAACCCATGCATCATCTTAGGTCGAACATCTCAACCCATGCGTCATCTTAGGTCGTACATCTCGACCCATGCATCATCTTAGGTCGTACATCTCAACCCATGCGTCATCTTAGGTCGTACATCTCAACCCATGCGTCATCTTAGGTCGTACATCTCAACCCATGCGTCATCTTAGGTCGTACATCTCAACCCATGCGTCATCTTAGGTCGTACATCTCAACCCATGCGTCATCTTAGGTCGTACATCTCAACCCATGCGTCATCTTAGGTCGTACATCTCAACCCATGCGTCATCTTAGGTCGTACATCTCAACCCATGCGTCATCTTAGGTCGTACATCTCAACCCATGCGTCATCTTAGGTCGTACATCTCAACCCATGCGTCATCTTAGGTCGTACATCTCAACCCATGCGTCATCTTAGGTCGTACATCTCAACCCATGCGTCATCTTAGGTCGTACATCTCAACCCATGCGTCATCTTAGGTCGTACATCTCAACCCATGCGTCATCTTAGGTCGTACATCTCAACCCATGCGTCATCTTAGGTCGTACATCTCAACCCATGCGTCATCTTAGGTCGTACATCTCAACCCATGCGTCATCTTAGGTCGTACATCTCAACCCATGCGTCATCTTAGGTCGTACATCTCAACCCATGCGTCATCTTAGGTCGTACATCTCAACCCATGCGTCATCTTAGGTCGTACATCTCAACCCATGCGTCATCTTAGGTCGTACATCTCAACCCATGCGTCATCTTAGGTCGTACATCTCAACCCATGCGTCATCTTAGGTCGTACATCTCAACCCATGCATCACCTTAGGTCGTACATGTCAACCCATGCGTCATCTTAGTTCGTACATCTCAACCCATGCATCACCTTAGGTCGTACATCTCAACCCATGCGTCACCTTAGGTCGTACATCTCAACCCATGCGTCATCTTAGGTCGTACATCTCAACCCATGCGTCATCTTAGGTCGTACATCTCAACCCATGCGTCATCTTAGGTCGTACATCTCAACCATGCGTCACCTTAGGTCGTACATCTCAACCCATGCGTCACCTTAAGTCGTACTTCTCAACCCATGCGTCACCTTAGGTCGTACAGCTCAACCCATGCGTCATCTTAGGTCGTACATCTCAACCATGCGGTATCTTAGGTCGTAAATCTCAACCCATGCATTAAATGTTGGTTGCGGCCTTCCTTTCATGATCCATTAACTTTATCAGCATATCCCTTAGGTCGTACATCTCAACCATGCGCCACCTTAGGTCGTACATGTCAACCCATGCGTCATCATAGGTCGTACATCTCAACCCATGGGTTATCTTAGGTCGTACATCTCAAACCATGCGTCATCTTAGGTCGAACATCTCAACCCATGCATTACCTTAGGTCGTACATCTCCACCCATGCGTCATCTTAAGTTGTACATCTCAACCCATGGATCACCTTTGGTCGTAACTCCCCACCCATGCATCACCTTAGTTCGTACATCTCAACCGGTGCGTCATCTTAGGTCGGACATCTCAACCGATGCGTCACCTTAGGTCGTACCTCTCAACCCATGCGTCACCTTACGTCGTATATCTCAACCCATGCATCACCTTAGGTCATACATCACCTTAGGTCATACATCACCTTAGGTCATACATCACCTTAGGTCATACATCACCTTAGGTCATACATCTCAACCCATGCGTTACCTTAGGTCGTACATCTCCACCCATGCGTCATCTTAGTTCGTCCTTCTCAACCCATGCATCATCTTAGGTCGTACATATCAACCCATGCATCACCTTAGTTCGTACATCTCGACCCATGCGTCATCTTAAGTTGTACATCTCAACCCATGTATCATCTTAAGTCGTACATCTCAACCCATGCATCACCTTAGGTCGTACATCTCAACCCATGCGTTATCTTAGGTCGTACATCTCAACCCATGCGTCATCTTAGGTTGTACATCTCAACCCATGCATTAAATGTTGGATGCGGCCTTCCTTTCATGGTCCATTAACTTTATCAGCATATCCATTATTTTTTTTGCATTTAAGTTAGTTTCTCTGATATGTGCATTGATGGTTAAAGCGGGGCACAGGCGAGAAATATTAATCCGAATGAAACGTTAATCTTTTAAATACTTTCTTCTCCTGAACGGCTTATTTATTTCATTACGATCCATCACAACGAGATATTGGAACCATGAAACCAAATTGTATGTAAAGGGAAGGTGTAGCACCATGGAGGCTGTGGAGACATTTTATCGCATTCATTTTCTCTATTTGTGCAGGGTCCTGCTCGGCGTTCAGTGTTTATAACTTGGATTTAGACAGAAGTGTTAGCTTTAGAGCCGTGGCAGCTGGTGACACAGCATTCTCCAAAGAAATATGTATCACAGGTAAGAAATATGTATCACAGGTAAGCATCGTTTTCGTTACATCTCTTACATTTTACTGTAAACACGTGGTCGTATTTTTTCCGTATATATTTTGAAGGTTATTCCTGTATATTTCTTTGCTATAAAAATTAATTATTTTGCCATAGTTTCATTGTTTTCCAGTTCGAATTACGATTTTCTTCATATTTTGATATTCTCTTGTTTCAAAAACCATGAAGAAACCATATAGTCCGAGAAATCAATATTACATGAAAATAATCGGTCAAGCTTATCTTATTTCTTAACGTTTAAAAACCGGTTCAAATTTGCCTTTATACATGCATTTTTAAGGAAAAATAATGTCATTTTCCAAGACATAATTTACGGATATATCGTTTGGAATCATAAAACTAGTTGGACGATTATTTGGGTTTCTATTAATCATCAGGCCGTGTAATTCACCTGGGATTGTTTCTGTTTTTCTATGTCATTTAGATACATACTTACACCAATAAACTGATCCAATATCGAAATACAAATAGCTAACAGCTACATCTGTTATACATGAACATGAATTAGAAAAAAGTATATACTGGAAACGGATGTCATACGTTAAGATAGGTAAACCACCCAGTAGTGGGATTAGCTAATGAATAAACGAGAAAATGAACATTAATAAGTTGTTACTTTTCCGGCGGCGTCGTCAACATTTAGTGTTTGCATTTAAGTAAATTGCATAGTCCATTGACTTTGTCAGCATCTCCATCAACATTAAGATTTTGCTTTTAAGTAGGTGTCTCTGAAACAATAAGTGCTAGTCTTACCAAACTTGACTTGATGGTCAAAGCGGGGCACAGGCGACACATATCAATCCGAATGGCTTGATTGTTTAGTAATTTCTGTTTTACTAATTACATTAAGACTAGTGAGACACCCTAATAGGTTTTTGGTCGATGTTTCTGTTTTGTATGGATGGTTATTTCTGACAATACGGTATGTTTACTTGCAGACAAAAGGCCGTTAGCTAATGTGACATGCATTAGATCATTTTATAACGGGGCCTTTTACGGGGACATTAGGATAAATCCGAAGTGTGTCTTTAATGATACGGCCAGTAGTGGTTCTACGACAACGTTGCAAAGATTGGCAGAGGTAAGCGATAATCATGGGTCGTCGGTACACTCATTTTGAAATAAATCATTGATTATTATGATACAAATTTCTGATGACGTCACAAATTTACTGTTAGCGTAAAACTGATGGATTACACAATAACTATATCTTGTCTAAATATTCAAAATATTGAGTTGTACATTCATCGAAAAAAGGTATCGACAAAAAATAGATTTAACGGCCAACTTTACAACTAGCATCTGTCACCCCTTACATTGCTTTGAACGTGTATTTCAAAAGGACAGTGCCATGGCGTATGAATATGTCATCACACTACAGTGGTAACATGACGTCACAATGTACACAAGATTGGTGGACAAAATATTGCAACATTTTGCTATGGCCTGTTAAGATTAGGTTAAAGAATGAAATTATAGTTTTCGTTTCTCGGAAAATAATGTCGGATGAATATTTATGATCAAAAGGTGAATGTTTATTAACATCCAAATTTCATAAAGATTAGCATTAATATTGTTCACCATATACACTCATGCATGTTCTGAGTTTATTACTAGATTGACCAATGTAAAGTGTACACTCATACATGTTCTGAGTTTATTACTAGATTGACCAATGTAAGGTGTACACTCATACATGTTCTGAGTTTATTACGAGATTGACCAATGTAAAGTGTACACTCATACATGTTCTGAGTTTATTACGAGATTGACCAATGTAAAGTTTACACTCATACATGTTCTGAGTTTATAACTAGATTGACCAATGTAAAGTGTACACTCATACATGTTCTGAGTTTATTACTAGATTGACCAATGTAA